GGCACCTAACAACAACATGGCTAAATTAACTTTGGGATCTATGATAGTCTAAAAAACTGAGAGACACTACTACAAAACTGGTTTGAGAGCATAACAGCTTACTTTCACTAATGGTATTCCATTGTTACTTAAGGTTTAAGTGTTCTAAATGTTTGAACTAATATCATATAAACAATTTTGGTTCTTAAATCGAAAATTCTCAAGCACCATCCAATGACAATATGGAAAAGAATACCTTTCCAGGTATTTGTTTCCAAATACAGTATGTTTTTTTCCCATACCAATGTTGATTAGAAGCTCTCTCATCTAACCTCTGCTTACCTGACTTGTCACAACCCCCCACTCCTTTGCAAAACAGACCTGAGGCGGTGGGGTGGCCGCCCCTTGCTGACCGCCCATAGCTGGCTGGTAGTCTCCTGTATGCTCAGTCTGGGCCCACCCTAGGAGATCAGGTTTGCCAAGGGGCAGTTCTGCCTGTTCTCAAACTAGTTATCAATGTTTTTGTGATCCCTGGTTTTAAGTGACTTTTTAAATTACTGAACTATCACCAGACCCAATCATATCAGAGAGGACTTCTACTACATTAGAGTTTATGTCTCAATTTACACCTAAATTTCCTCTACTGGATTCAAACTGTAAAATTAAACATTATTTTTTTCATGTTAAAGGGAGCTGCACACAGTAATTTTTTTTATTATCTTTTATAAAAGATAGAAGGTTTGAACAGATGACACAGGAAATAAAAAGTGAAGAAGATGTTGAGCATTATTAAGAAGGTTTGTTCGGTTTTGCTGGCTTCAACCAGACACCCATTTGGTTTCCTCTAATTCAGAAGCAGTTCAGCACTTACCTGGAAAGTTTTGGCAAATTATACTAAGTTTAGAAATTCTATGAAAATATGGGTTACAAACATAAAGTTCAAAGGTTGAGGCAACTATAATCAAAATTGGAAAAACATAATAGAAGATAACCTGTGATATATTTCGCAAAAAATTTATCATCCACATACCTGTTTTTGATGTGATAATATATTGCAAGAGCTACACTGTAAAATAAAATGCAGGCATTCAGTTTTCCATAGGCATATTCAAGATCTTATACAATACCAGGCAACAGTCTGACCACAAATATTTGTATATAAGTAAGAGGTAAACAACCTATCTGAACTGCCCCATTTCCCTCAGGATACCGTTCAAGAAAATGTACTCTTCAAAGCAAATCAATCTGGTACTCATGCCCCAAAATTATTAAATCTTTTCCAGAAACACCAGATTTAAAAACAAATTGTTCTTTCTATCAGAAATTGTAAGCTTTTCTCACTTGTAAAATACAAGCACTATATAGAAACCAGGTGGTGCAAATTAAACACCTTTAGAAATCTTCGACTCATTACCTGCAACTTCAGAAAATTAGGGTTTTCTTCATAAGAAAAATGTGAATATCACCCACAGTGGTTTGCTATTTTTTCTCTTAAATGAATAAACTTTTGGCAATCTGCCTAACTTATCCATTCACTTGCTGAAATGGTACTGTAATTTTTATTTGTAGCACTACCTTAAAATTTATATTTCAAATTTTAAAAGATCTGAATTTAGCAAAGACATTCATCTCCCGAGTTTCTTTTTTAAATACTGATTATAATATATATTATATTGATTGTGGAAATATAATAAACTATATAAAGCATAAAGAAAAATAATTCCTTCTACCCAAAGACAACCACTGTTAGCTTAGGATATATAGATATCTGTAGTTATCGATAAATTACACTTTGCAAACAGGTTTGCATCCTACTTTTACTCTTACTATGTTAACATTTTTCTTACCATTAAAATATTCTTCATACACATGACTTTAAATAGCTGACTATATTCCATCATATGGTCATTGACTAATTCTTTAATACTCCCTACTACTGAATATTTAAGTTGTTTCTAACATTTTGCAGTTATAATTAACACCATAATGAACATCCTCACAGATAAGTATTACTTACTTTCCCACCAGTGTCTGTTGCACTTCACCTTCACTGACACTCATCTTAAATGTTCTAAAAAATGGTCCCCAGATTAACAGGTAGAAAAAAGGACTATTTTTTCAATTTGAGTTTCTTTGATCATCTATCCAGTTGGCAGTTATTCAGGTTGATGGGGCAATTTTTCTTCCCCCTCATTTCTCCTTTGCTAAACTATCTAGGTCCTTCTATTATTTTTGTTTTACTTTATAATTTAATGAGGAAGCCAAAAAATATTTTTACATGAGTCGGAATTGACCTGACGGCAACAAGTTTCTGTTTTTTTTAAGGACGTAGCTAAGTGGCTGTGTCAGATCGTGTTCTGTGTCTCTCAGCGGCACCAGCTGATCTATAGCGAGAGAGCGCAGAACATGACAATGGCTAACCTCACTCTATCACAAGGAAAATTCTATTCTTCCAAATCAATCTCTTTCCAGGTCTATTCACTCAAATGGTTCAGCATTAAGTGTTAAAAGTACTCATGAGAAAATGGTAATACTTCCTTTATTTCTCCTGACATCTTGAAAAGCATCTAATCTGATGGAGGAATTGTAACTGGAGTGAAAGGGCTTCAGAATTTAAAAAAATAATAATATGGTTTTCTAAGTGCTTTCATACACATTAACAGCCCTGTAACAGAAAATAGTAGACGTTACTGATTCTACTCTATAAATGAGAAAAGTAAGGTTCAGACCCTAGATGCCAGGATTCCCAGCTTGTACAATGGGCTTTTGTGCCCTTCTGTTATACCATGTTGCCTCTGGAAAGCAGGGAGAAATGACTGTTTATTCATTTAATAGTCACACCATGATGACTACTTTTCTGATCTATGGCAGGCTGAAATTGAATGCTTCATATGATCGGGTTTAGTGCAGTGATTAGTTTAACCTCTCTGACTGAGAAAGAAAATGGCTCTTGCTTCCCCTATAACATAGCGTAACAAAGAACTATCACCAGACTGAAGGCAGACAAACCTGGGTTCCAGACCTTGCTCCTTCATTCGTTAGAGTTCATTTGCCTCTCAGAGCCTTAACTTCCTCATTTATAAAATTAGAATGATACAACCTGCACACTGAAGAGTTGTTATTATGATCAAATGAGATAAAACATATAAAAGCACTGTCTCAAATATAAAGCTCTAAAACGAAAGTTATTATTATTGTTGTTACTGCCCTATCAATAACTTCATCTCAAGAGATCTGGCTTCTGCAGATTGAATGAAAACTCCCAGGGTCCCACGATCACTCTTCTTCCCAACCAGGGCAAGACTGAACTCATCATGGCCTTAGACCTCCATGAAAGACAGAGCCACCTGTAGGCCAATTTCCACTCAAGGTGATATCCCAGAAAGTGAAAAGACTGAGCTGAAGATTCATGCACAGCACAGCTCTAATAAGCCAGTCTGCCGGTCTTCTTGAAAGAACTGGTTGCTGGGGGGAAAGGGCAGACAGGTGAAAACTGAACCAGTCTCAGGCTTCAGGCTTCATGGCAAATGGCCAGCCTCTGAGGCCTGGGTAGTTCTGCCATGAGGTTTCACCAAGGATGGGCCAGACCAACCCACAGAACAGAGGTTACATTTTAGTCACAGGGTTTGCTTTTTTGCCACATAGCTGGGAAGGAAGGACATGCTATACTCTTGCCCAAGAAAACAAAGCAGACTTGTGATTGTTGGCACTGCCCTTGTTTGACTTTTTACCCAGAGCTGAATTACAAAAGCACATGACAATCCCAACACCACTGTAGATCAAGTGGTAGGGGGACTGGCAGTGCAGAGGGGCTGAACCCCAGAGCTGGAGGAGGACACAGAGCTCCTCTCTGACCCTTGGAGGCAGGGACCATGGACGATTTGACCAGCTGAGTGAACAGGGCTCCCCACTGTCCTCCACCCTTTGATCAACATTCACATGCCTGTTACAGGATTTGGTGGGGAAGAGTCTTGGCGAGGCATGGGGGGTGGCTGGCAAATGCCAAATCAATCCCACAGCTGTTGGCATTTAAAGGAAAGCTTAAAAACAGGCAAACCATGCTGTTAAGTCGACTTCGACTCATGGGGACCCCATGTGTCAGAGGACGCACAGGAAAATCAAATTCTCAAAATAGGAAATAATGCTATGAAAACAGTGAGAGTGGGATGAATGCCCAAACTTTTTACCCTTAGACTTTTCTTTCACTATTAGAATAGCACTCAACCCCCGCCCACCCCCAACTAAACTCATTGTAACCCGTTGTCATAGAGCCGATTCCAACTCAAAGCAACCCTACAGGACAGAGTAGTGCTGCCCCATAGGGTTTCCAAGGCTGTAATCTTTACGGAAGCAGAATGCCATATCTTTCTCCTGCAGAGCAGCTGGTGGGTTCAAACCGCTGACCTTTTGGTTAGCAGCTGAGCAGTTAAGCACTGTGCCACCAGGGCTCCTGTGAGTCGGAACTGATTCAACAGCAATGGGTTTGGTTTTTTTTTTTTTTCATTTAGGGTAACCATCAGGCAAGATCTTAAAATAGGATGGCATTTGGGTTTAGCATCTTTCTACCCACATTTTGACATCCCCTTCTCTTTGTTTATCCCTTTCCTCTTATACTGTCTAAACACCTAGCAGAAGAACTCACCAAGGCCTGCTAACACCTCAAAATGCTTTTTACTCTTCAGCTCCTTGATCATAACCAGGGCAGGTGTGTGATGCAGGTTACTTACACGGCAGGATTCTGATGGTACCACTTCCATTAGGGCCCGCCTGCCCAGCTCCCGGCTCCCAAACGTGCATTTTCAAAACGGGAATACTTTTTAAAGCAACTGGACCACTGACCGAAGGAATTTCAAATCTGGGCAGTGAGGAGAAAACGTCTTTTGGATCCGGGGGCAGCGGCATCTGCGCCGTCAGAATGCCATCTCGATGGTCAACTATCCTAACCATGCCTGCTCGTCAGCTCTGTGTTAATTAATCCAGAGCTTACTGGTGGCGCAGTGGTTAGGAGCTCGGCTGCTAACCAAAAGGTTGGCAGTTTAAATCCACCAGCTGCTCCTTGGAAACCCTATGGGGCAGTTCTATTCTGTCCTATAGGGTCACTAAGAGTTGGAATCGACTCAATGGCAATGGGTTTTGTTTTACTTAAAAGTTTCAAAGGGACTTTGGAGGAGAAGGGTAGGGCAGCTGTCCATTTATATCAGTAGTTCTCAACCCTGGCTGCCCATAAGAATTTCCTAGGGAGTTTTGAAAACCCAGACACCCAGGCTATATGAGGCCAATTTAATCGGGAACTCCAGCAAGAGCCAGCCTCCAGCATTTTTTAAAGCTCCTCAGGTGCTTCCAACATGCAGACAAGGCTTAGGACCACTGACTCACACAGATGTGCACCTATGAATTAGTTGTCCTTGCAACCTCCCAAGACTTAACCACTGAAATATCAACTCGTCATCCCAGTTTTCCCACCCCTGCTCCTAAGTATCTATGTCACAACCAGTGGCGATTTTAAGCAGTCAAAGGGCCAAGCAATTGAGTTGGACTCAACAGCGAGTCCTGAAGACCTCTCAGCTGCCATTTAAAGTGAAGTCACCATTCTGTTCTACTTTGCTTCCCTTACTGTGAAGCAGGATTCCAGGATAAAAGGACAGCTAACAGCTTCATTCTGTGCTTTTTAAAGCTTCAGCAGATGCCAGTAACAGCATGAGGCACAGTTCTTCAGGGTTTTCCATTTCCCTCCACAACTGCTAACCACTTTGTCTAAAAATGCTTCCATTTCCCGGCAGTAAATTGGGGCTCAAAGGTATTTAAGTGGCTCCAGAAAGGTCACACAGGTCACTGTCTTGTGGGGTTATTACGCAAACCTCTTTCCAGCTACCATCTCCAATTACTTGGCTTTATACTCAACTAGTCATTTACGATGCCCTTAAACACGAGGTAATGAGGGGAAGAGGTACACTTCCATTCGGATCTGGGAAACATGCTGCCCACAGGATAGAAGGAAACTGCACAGACACGGGCACCTTATCCTAGTGGTCACATCTTCTACCTTCCACCTGGAGTCACCTGCTGTGCCCAGAAGACACAGAGCCCTCACTGCCCTGACTGAGGTAGAGACTGAGCCACCTGAAATCATGTTTAGAACAGGGCTTCGAAGCCTAAATACCTGGCCCATTGAAATAAAAGAATACTTCTTACGGATTTTAACACTTATTTCACATGCTAGCATGTATTGTTGCTGAATATGCACTTTCTTAAACAAGTACAGAGATAAAATAATCCAGATTTTTCAAAACCTAGCTGCTGAGCATAGACCCCAAACGTATCAAGTTATCTGTGATTGCTTTCGAGGGTTATTATCACTGTGTTAGTGGGAATATCACAGGAAAAGCCCGTCCTGCCTCCCTCTCACCTCTCATTTTAAAATAAGGAAACTGAGGCCCCAAAAGGGAAAGGATTTTATCCAAAGACTCCCCTTCCTCCCTCTTAACTCCCATTTTAAAATAAGGAACTAAAAGCCCCCAAAGAAAAGGGTCTTACCCAACCCCCTCCCCACCCCAGTCAGTGACAGAACCACAATTAGAACTCAGGTGTCTTGACTCCCAGCCAAGTACACGCTCTACTATGTCATTCCACCATGCCATGCCAGCTGTCTCCTGTAGCCCGGAGTCTTAAAGTGTGACCACAGGCGCCTCATCTTACTTAAAAGGTAAAAAAATTAGCAGAGTTATGCTAGAATGGCCTCAATAAACAGTGGAAGCATAGAAACTACGCACAAAAATCTAAAATGCATTTTAAATAATCAACTACAAATTTTGGTCTTTCATGTAAATAATAACATGCACAAGTATTTTGATACCCCACATTTTAACTCCCAAAATCATTTTTTAGAAAGATTTCCTGAAAAGTCCATGGCCTCCCCCTCCCTGATCTTACCTCTCCCATACCCCACAAACAACCAGCTTAGCCATCCGGTTAAGGAATAGAAAACGCATCCATTTAAGCAAAAGTCTGTATACCCACCATTTAATTGTATACTTGAGGTTTGGCTGACTGACTGTGCTATCATCTAGGAAAATAGTGGAGCAGGAGCTGTATTTCCTTGCTATTTGTCCTGGAGGATGCTAGAAAACAATGGGCAAAAGATAAGAACAATTATACAGAGCTCAAAATTCTTCCAAGAACATCACAGAGAGGAAAACAATGTCTTAGCAAGAACTGTTAACACCACCACCAAAAACAGTACAAAAACACTTCATTTGTAAAATGAAATTCCCTGCTCTTCCATATATAAAAGTCACCAGCACCACTCCTGGTCCCAAGCCTCTCATCAGGAGGACAATTGCAATCAAGCATCAGAGTCTATTGCAATCATCTGCCCCGGAAACCATGTGAACATGGAGTATAGCTCTCACTACACCAAAGAAAGCCCAGGATTAAGGTGGGGTCCTGATTTTACACACCAAGATCAATACAAGAGTCTACTGTACCCATTTTCTCTACTCTTGGGGTACAGGTGATTTGTGGGCCATGGAAGATGCAGGTGACATTAATTTAGAGTCTCCTTTTCAGGAATAAAAAGATAAAGGAAAGAAAGTATTGCTTTGTTAGGAGAAAAACACTGTACAAAGAAGATGATTATGTGATACTTTTGGAAATACAACAAACTTTTAGGGAGAGTGCCCATTCAGTTTTATGACTGGTTCTTTTACAGCTATATCCAATTTTAAGGTCTTTGGAGAACTTCAGACCTGAGAACTACTTCTAAAAAGTACTGGTAAACAATTAAATTATAAAACTGATGACATCTAACTGAATGCTATAAATAGATTTTTGGAAACCATACGGGCAATATGACTCGTAGATATCGATCTGGATAAATTCTTGCTCAAAAGCAAGCTAGAAAAACAACTCAAATCATCTGAACAAAAGCCAAATTACCACTTGCTTGGGACTATGCTGAAGGTCTACGTGTCATTCTCAGCAACCCAAACACACCAATCTCTTGGGGATCTTAAAATCGCCTGCCTGACCTGTCCACCTCCAACAAAATCCCCAGCTATCCACATGTGATGAATAAAAGGAAGCCCTAACACTAGAGATCAAATGCCTTGCTCAATACTCTACCATGAGAAATATAAAAACGATGTTATACACAATCTCCTCTTAAAACTAAATAATAAATAAAAATAGTCACTGTTTGGGGCATGGAGTTTCTTAAACTACAGCTAGAGGGCACTGCACCACTGAAGCACAAGGACCCTCCTGTGGGTAGATAACGAAACTCGGGAAATTCAAACGATAAGGCCTGTTCTGGAACTTCACTTTTTAAACTTACGTGATTCTGTGTGAGGAAAGGGCAAAGGCAAAGCCCAGTGAAGTTCAAGTAAAGGTCGATTTTAACAGGGTACTTTCACATTTACTAATCACAATATTCTTATTCAGATAATCTTAGAAAGGCATTAAAAAACAACTTTTTTAAAGCTCTTGCAGCAAGCAGTTAAGTCACATAAGAAACACTATAAAGTCATAATCTATTAATAACTATTAATATGAGTGGGGAGCTTTTTCAAATCCTTATGAAATTTTACCCACAGGTGCAAAATCGGATACAAACCATGAAAACCTCAAGAGACAACCTATTTTACACACAAATTCAGTAATTAACTGATGTGCTAATGAATATTGAGAGATACGGGGTAATTTTAGGAATAACATCAACAACAAAGCAAAAGGACAAGAGTTCACTTCTACTTCTTGCAGAGTTTCAACTATTTCCTCTGACGCAAATTCCTTCAAAATTAAAGTGTGACAACAGGAACTGTCAAGAATAAGTGGTTTCCCTTAGAAAACAGAAGCCATGGGGCCTCTGTCAAGGAGAGGGGGTGAGTGGTGTATATCCTTCTCCATCGAAGGTCTTACTTTCATTAGCTAACTCACAGGAAAGCCCTCAGGACAGGTGGCCCCTGAGGGCTAGAGCTTTCCCTCAAAACCAGTCATGCTTTGGGATCTCCGAGCTGGGAGTCTGGGTACCCCCAAAGCCCTTGATTCTCCAGGGGACGCCAGCCCAGCTTCCAAATTATTTTACCATTTCTACCGTAAGTTTTTAAAATTTCATTAATTAATTTCAACTATTTAATGATTTCTAAAATTAAATAAGAGTTCTAAGTGTTACATTATAATGACTTTAATTTTCAGGGTAGCTCATCACTCTAAATAGCATTTGGGCATTAAGTCACTGGTCTGAAATCCATGTCGCTAACAAGATGGACTCCCTCTACCAGAAAAGCTCTTGATCCCTGGGCTGCTTTTCTTAGTTTGTTTTGACTGTCCCTCTTAGGGTGGGGCAGAGGGCAGGGATGGTCAGCCAGGCACCAACACCCTTGTTTGCAGCATGTCCAGTAGCCAATACGCGTCTTGCAACACTGACAGCTTTAAACGGCTGCCTGCCTTCTGAATTATCCAGTTAATGTTATATACGTTTACTGACAAGTGTATTATAAATACTTTTACTAAACACTCAGTGTGCAGATAGTTCTTAGTTTTAATCAAAATACTGTATTAATCTGACATTTTAATGATCCCAGGATTCTTGAAAATCAGTATGCATATGCACGTGTGTTGAAGACACAGAGATTCTTCCAGGAAGGTGTGATCCTTGGCTGTGCTACAGCACAATACGATGCCCTGGAGAAACAGCAGTGTACAATGGTGAAGAATACAGATGCTGGGGCCACAACTCTTGGGTGTGAATCCCAACTGGGCCACCATCTAGCTGTTGCCCAGGCAAGTTACTCAGCCTCCCTCTTAACACCTGAGTTTCCTTACATGTAAAAATGAAGATGAAAATAACAGACCTCACTGGGTCCTTCTGAGGAGGAGTAAACTGATATCTGTAAAGTGTTTAGAGCAGTGCCAGGCACATAGGAAATGCTACATAAGTACTTGCTAAATAAAATACATGGAACATGGCAGGTAAGAAAGTGACTGGAATGCTTTTTATGCTTAAATATAAAAGGATATGAAAGAAAATACCTAAAACAATGATTTACTTGAAAAGGACAGGCATAATGCTATAGCCCTGGTGGCGCAGTGGTTAAGAGCTCGACTGCTAATCAAAAGGTCGGCAGTTCAAATCCACCAGCCTCTCCTTAGAAACCCTATGGGGCAGCTCTACTCTGTCCTATAGGGTCACTATGAGTCGGAATTGACTCGACAGCACACAAGAACAACAACGCAATAGTTAGTTATCTAGATTTTACTAGGGATGACAACTGTGTAGAGGGAGCAGATGACATACAGACAACCATAAACTCTGCTTAGAATGGAGCAGAGAACATCCAAATTAATGAGAAGCCCCATTATGGATTGTTTTTAAAGAAAAACAAGTTTATTATCTTTGAAATAATGTATCTTTTACAAATCAAGTTTCAATATGTAAACTAACAGAATTTTAGACCTAGATTGAATCAAGAAGATCATTTAGTTTCCCTAATGTCTACGGTAGAAGATAATCTATTACTTACATAAAACTTCATTAATATACAAGAATTGTTGGGCTGTATATTTAAGGGGATCTTAATGAAGAGTTATCCCAAATAATGTGATTATGCCTTTAGATAATTTCAATACTGATATCTGTCAGATATATACAGACACACACACACAAAGTACAGGATAAACAGAATGGAGGGTGGGGATGAGACCTCTGCAGAACCTTCCACAATGACCAGAAATCCCTTTCCCAAGGACTTCTAACCTCCCTAATGTCCTCAAGTCCTCTGCCCACGGCCTCAGCCTGTGCTCTCCACAGAGTGCTGGGGCAGCATCCACTCCTTCCTTGCATCTCCCTCCCCCTCTCACCTTCAGGGCAAGACCTAGCCTTCTCCAGGTCTCGGCTACTTAGGCCCTGCACTTCTTCAAACTTCCTTTCTAAAAGTTGGTTCACACTTCTAGGAATACATCCTGGAGAAATAAGAGCCGTCACGCAAACAGACACATGCACACCCAGGTTCACTGCAGCATTATTCACGATAGCAAAAAGATGGAAACGTAGATGTCCATCAACAGATGAATGGATAAACAAACTATGGTACATACGCACAGTGGAATACTACACAATGATAAAAAACAATGATGAATCTGTGAAACTTCTCACAACATGGATGAATCTGGAGGGCATTATGCTGAGTGCAGTAAGTAAATCACAAAAGGACAAATATTGGATGAGACCACTATTATAAAAACCCACACACAGAAAAAAACCATCTTTGATGGTTGTGAGGGAGGGGGCGGGAATCACTAACTAGACAGTAGACAAATGTTAACTTTGGTGAAGGAAAAGACAATACACAATATAGGGGAAATCAACACAATTTTACCAAGGCAAAGCCATAGAAGCTTCCTAGACACATCCAAACACCCTGAGGGACCGAGTTACTGGAGACCATGGTCTTGGGGGACAACTAGGTCAATCGGCATAACAGTTCATGAAGAAAATGTTCTACATCCTACTTTGGTGAGTAGTGTCTGGAGTCTTAAAAGCTTCTAAGCAGCCATCTAAGATACATCTATTGGTCCCATACTATCTGGAGCAAAGGAGAATGAAAAAAACCAAAGATACAAGGAAAATATTAGTCCAAAGGACTAATGGACCACAAGAACCAC